TCCATCTGTTAAACTACTGAAGTTCGCAGATGACACAACAGTGATCGATCTCATTCGAGACAATGATGAATCAGCATACAGACGGGAGATTGAACAACTAGCCTCGTGGTGTGACCAGAACAACCTGGAACTGAACACATTCAAAACCATAGAAATGGTGGTAGACTTTAGGAAAAACCCTTCCATACTTCCACCTCTCACAATACTAGATAACACAGTATCAACAGTAGAGACCTTCAAATAGGTTCTACCATATCGCAAGATCTAAAATGGACAGCTAACATCAAAAATATCATCAAAAAAGCACAACAAAAAATGTTCTTTCTGTGCCAACTCAGAAAGCTCAAACTGCCCAAGGAGCTGCTGATACAGTTCTACAGAGGAATTATTGAGTCTGTCATTTGCATCTCTATAACTGTCTGGTTTGGCTCTGCATCCCAACAAGACAGACACAGACTTCAGAGGATAATTTGAACTGAAGAAAAAACAATTGCTACCAACCTGCCTTCCATTGAGGACCTGTATACTGCACGAGTCAAAAAGAGATCTGTGAAAATATTTACAGACCCCTCACATCCTGGACATAAACTGTTTCAATTCCTACCCTCAAAATGACGCTATAGAGCACTGCACACCAGAACAACTAGACACAAGAACAGTTTTTTTCCCGAATGCCATCACTCTGCTAAACAAATAATTCCCTCAACACTATCGAACTATTTACTAAGTCTACACAACTGTTAATCTTCTCATTGTTCTCACCACCTATCTCCTTTCACTTATGACTGTATGACTGCAATTTTGTTGCTTGTATCCTTATGATTTATATTGATATTGTTTCCTGATTGCTTATTTGTACCCTATGACTATCATTAAGTTTTGTACCTTATGATTCTTGACAAATGTATCTTTTCTTTTTATGTACACTGAGAGCATATGCACCAAGACAAATTCCTTGTGTATCCAATCACACTTGGCCAATAAAAAATTCTATTCTATTCTATTCTATTCTATTCTATTCTATTCTATTCTATTCTATTCTATTCTATTCTATTCTATTCTACTAGGCTCAACAATTGACTAGATCTCATTTCTGCAATAGCTTAAACTCAATTTATGGCCTACAAATTAAAGAACTTTTTTCCAACAGGGATCACATCCTGTTTGATTTGATTGATTTTTGTCTCAATTTAGGTCCTTGCAAAGAAGGTCATAATGATGGGACTCCAAATTATAACTTTAAAAAAGCCAACTATGATCTCATAGCTATCGACCTCGCATCTCTTGATTGGCACCTTCTGTTCACAGGTTGTATAACTGCAGAAGACCATTATAACACTTTTTTGTTCTAAGTCAATCGAGTCATTAATCTATATGTACCTAAAATAACCCCTAAAGCAAACCCTCCCCCCAAAAAAACAGAAATAAAACAAAAAAAAAACAAAGTACCCATAACAATAAAAAAGTTACAATCCAAGAAAAAAATCACTTCGGCGAGAAAACAAAACTGGCTACATAGCATTTAAAAAACGCTACAAAGCCTTATGCCATCAGATAAAGGCCAAATCAGAGGTGGGTTTCAGCAGGTTCTGACCAGTTCTGGAGAACCGGTAGTGGAAATTTTGAGTAGTTCAGAGAACCGGTAGTAAAAATTCTGACTGGCCCCGCCCCCATCTATTCTCTGTCTTCCAAGTCCCAGTTGATCGGGAGGAAATGGGGATTTTGCAGTAACCTTCCCCTGCCATGCCTACCAAGCCACATCCAGCAAGCCATGCCACCCCCACCAAGCCACACCCACAGAACCTGTAGTAAAAAATTTTGAAACCCACCACTGGGCCGAATGTACCAATCACCATTGCAAACAGGAGTAAGAACTGCTAAACTCGAACTTCTCCTGAACCTTCTATAATTTTGTAAATGTAAAGACTCGAAAACTCTCCCACCCCTAAAAGAGCCTAGGGGAAGACTGTAACAATGAAATTGCTAAACCTAAGCTTAGTACACAAAATTGTCTGCTACAATATCTTACCTGTCAATGACTTCTTCAGCTTCAACCACAATAATACATAGGCAAACGATCGATACAAACTCGAGGTAAACCACTCCAAACTTAACTGCAGAAAAAACGACTTCAGCAACAGAGTGGTCAACGCCTGGAATGCTCTACCCAACTCCGTTGTTACAGCCTCAAATCCTCACAGCTTCAAACTGTCTACTGTGGACCTCACCCCATCCCTAAGAGGTTCGTAAAAGGGGCGTACATAAGCGCATCAGCGTGCCTACTGTCCCTGTCTTACTGTTCTCATTTATCTGTACTTCCTTTCTTTTATGTTTATGTTTATACCTATAACCTGCTATTTTGTACATGTTTGACAAACAAACAAATAAATAAATAAATTTCTTACAATAATAATGGGGGACTTTTACTACTTGACATCAGCTGGAAGACAAATTGTGTACCTAGTAGAAGATCAAACATTCCTGACAAATCTAGCAGACAACTTTGTCTCCCAAAAGGTAAAGAAAACAACCAGAGAGTCAGCCATACTGGACTTAATTTTCATAACAGAGTTGAAATGATAGAAAGCAATGAAATTACTGGAACCTGGGGGCGGGGGGGAAGGAAGTGATCATGCAATATTTGAATTCAATATTATGCAAGGACAAGTAATGGAACAAAGCTATCCAACCTCGCTGAGGGGTAGGACAGCCAAAAGGTGATCAGAAAACAATCTGTTTATAGAAAAAAAAAACCCAAGTATTAGATACCAACTATTGCAAGATGCTAATGAAAGAGGAGGATTGGGTTTACCAGATTTGGAATTGTATTTTGATGCATCTTGTTTAGTCTGGCTAAAAGAGTGGGTGACTCTCCAAATAAGAGGTAACTCAAGCTAGAGGGCCATGAATCATAAGATATGATAAGATTAAAGTAAATATTGATTTTAATAATCACTTTGTTTGACATGCAATTCTAAGAATTTGGAATACATATAAAATATGGTTCTCTATGAAGATGCCACTTTAGTGTCTCTCCAGGAAGCTTTTTAAAGAAAATAAATGGTGCAGATATCTTTCAGTTATCGTGATCCTATCTTCAAATCTAAAAAAAAATTAGAACCAGAAGCATGTGTTTGCCATTGGCTTACATATTTACAATTGAAAGAAAGATTTAAGCTAGAAAAAAAATTATGGATTAGATTTTGTGAAAAATGAATTGGATATCCTACTGTGGTGATAAACATATTATTGCTAAGCTTTATAAATTGTTACTGAATTTGAATTTAGAAAATGAGTATGTAAAGCACTGTATGATTCAGTAGGAAAAGAATTTTGGATATAATGTAATGTTGGAATTATGGGAGAATATGTGGACAAAGTCTAAAATTCACACAATTTAAAAGAAAAAAATTATAAGATGATGTATCATTGGCATCTAACACCAGACAAGTTAAGAATGTATAAAGGTATCTCAAATGAATGTTGGAAATGTAAATGTAAAGAAGGAACTTTTTATCATTTATCAGATGTAATAAAGCAAAGAAATATTGGAGTAGAATTCACATCTTAATACAGAAGAATCTTAAAGAGAATATAAAAATAAAACCAGAGACTTTTCTTTTAGGCCTAATGGATAAAGAATTTGAAAAAAATGGAACTTTGATGTTTTATATATGCTGACAGCAGCAAGATTACTTTATGCACAAAAATGGAATGACATTGTATTTCACAATTGAGCCCAAAATTTATGTTGCTTAGGCAAAACAGTTGTTAAGTGAATTTTGCCCTATTTTAAACTAGTTGTTAGTAAATCACTGCAGCTGTTAAGTTAGTAACACGGTTGTAAAGTGAATTTGGCTTCCCGATTGACTTTGCTCATCAGGTCTCAAAAAATGATCACATGATCCTGGGACACTGCAACAGTCATAAATATGGACCAGTGGCCAAGTATCCAAATTTTGATCATATGACCATGGGAATGCTGTAATGGTCATTAGTGGGAAAAACAGCCATGTCAGTTTTTCAGTTGTAATTGCAAATGCTCACTAAATGAATGGTTGTACGTTGAGAACTACCTGTACATCAGATATCAGACCAAAGAAATGATTTTATATGAGCTATATTTCCAGATAAATAGTTCTCAATGCAATTTTTTTTATGTCTATTGAGAAGTAACACCAAAAAAATGGAGTTTGCTCAAAGACGTGGGTTAGTCTTACACTAAAGAAGTAACAAGCAAATGCATAACACTTTAAAAACAAAAATATGCATTTATGCTGAAAGATCTTCCTGAGTTTAAACCCAGCTTCAACCCAGAGATTATAGACAGAAAACTTTGTCTGCTATTTATTTTTACCTAACCTAAAATAAATTTCCCATTTCAAAGACATTTTCGGGAAAGTTGTTTGCTTGCAGCAAATTCAATACAAAGACATGAATTTAATCCCTACTTCATTTATATTGCATACTGTATGCTTATTGCATTCTAGTAAAACAAGTCATTGCTGCCAAGAAAGCCATGTGCTAATTGTTGGATTAAGCCGCTAGGAGAAGAGATCAATTTGAAAGAAAATTTTCTTTTACTTTCGCTCATAAAAACTGTATCATCTTAATGAACCTATTAAACGTTTTACAGTATATGGCAGGTGTAGCATACTTCCTTTTTTAAGGGCAGATGCTGCAACTGACAGTCACCAGCTGAACAGGTTTCTCTTTGAAGAACTTTTTAATCATTGGCTACCAAAGAATTTTCCTTGCAGCTATGTAGTTGAAAAACGTGATTCCTGTTCTCTGCCTTTACTGACTTGATCCGTACCAAACATGGTGTGTGCCAGGACTCATTGTTTAAGTGGGGTCTTGTCTCTACCCCAGTGGTCCTCGACAAAATATCCTCCACATTGTGTCCTAATGTCCATCTAGAGCTTACACCAGCCCAATGTCTGATTTTTTCAACATAGGCCACCCAGTTCTTGAATGGCTGGGTGGGCTGGACATGAACTATTATAAATCCATGTATTTGCCATATAAATAAACTGACTTGAGTTGGCCCAGCTGACCTGCCAAGGGCGTGGCTGCTAATGAGTGGCGGTGGGTGAGGTGAGATATTATCACCGTAATAGAGCATTTGCAAGTGACGTGTCAAACGACCTTTTCCCTTTTGATTTTCGTCATCCATATATAATACCTATGGCCCGTGAAAGGAGGATAGATAGATAGATAGATAAAGAGAGGAACCACAGAAAGCGGACAGACCGAGGCGACAGCGAGAATTGAGGAGACGCCAAGGAAGAGAGCGCATGCAAGCGTTAGGGAGCCCTCCCTCTCCTCGCGCCTCGGCCCCCAACATCCGGGTTTTTGGCCAAGCTGCTGAGCCTGCTGTTGCCGCTCCTTCTGGTGGCTCTCTGCCTCTCATTGAAGAAAAAGGCGACGAGGGCGCTGGCGGTAAGGGCTATTTCCATAGAGCGGCAGGAGGGGGATCCAGGCTTGTCTCGTCCTCCCCACTGGTGTTGTGTGTGCGCGTGCGCGCAGTGAAAATGGCGGCGGTGGTGGGAGGGCGAGCGGGATCCTTTCGTTCCTCTTCTTCTGCAGGGATGAGCTCGGGCTACGGGGTTCCCGCCGCCGCCCTCGGCACAACTAACAGCAGCGGTGCAGACACACGCGCCGGAGTGGACGAGGACGATGGACAGAATCTCTGGTAATTGAACCCGTCTCCCTCTTCCTCATCGGCTCCAGATTGTTCCTCTCTTCTCGATCGCCCAGCAACTGCCCCCCGCGTCGCTCATCCTCACAGACTCCTTTTGGGGGGGGCTGGGGGTGTCGCCGGGAGACTCCTCCGCCATGATACCGTCGTCCCGATCCCTTGTGCTCTGCCCCAGGAAAGATCTGTCTTTCCTTCCGCATTCTTCGCCCTACACTGCTGTCGCGCCGTGACAGGAGTGGATCTTTTTCTTCCCGGGCTTTGCCCTTCCTCACGGCTCTCCTTGTTTCGCGGCAGGTCCTGTATTCTCAGCGAGGTATCCACTCGTTCCCGATCTAAACTGCCTTCTGGGAAAAACGTCGTGCTGTTGGGTGAGTAGTCTCTTTCTTCTATTTCCTGCTTATTCTTCCCTTTGATTATTCTCTTTCCTTATTCATCGGGGCTGGACCGCTTCATGCTTCCTTTAGAGCGCCGCTTGTGTCGAAGGGAGAGGTTCTCGGCCCCTCACAAGATAGACCACATTTTCTTGTGTTAAACGCAACAATAGTATATATGAAATAAGGTGTTAACACTTTTTTTTTTGTGGTCTTCATATATGTCTTGATTAGGAAGCTGAGCAAAAAACCTTTGTGTATTTGTCTAAGACCTGTCAAATATGTTTGATGAATGATTTATCAGCATTATGCTTTAATACATTATGCTTTAATGCTGTTGTCTATTAGATGTGATCAATTATTATCTTCATACTCTTTTTGCTCTTTAATAGAAATCAAATAGCTGAACTGTTTGATAGTAACTGATATTTGAAGTTGTCAAGATTTATCCGAACCAGCAGTTATGTCCTGGGGCATGGGGAGTCTCATAAAGTCTTCGAACAATTAGTGTTATTTACTGATGGAAGTTTTCTATTTTGATGCAGTAAACCTGTTTCTTGAAATACAAACTTGAATATCAAGAATGTGTAAGCCTCTTCTGGGTGGCTTTCAAATGGCCACTTTAAATAATTTGTAGGTTAGTAAGTTTAAGTTGTAGAAATGATAGATAAAAATATGTACTGTAAAGACGTATGATCACTTGGGCTTCTACCATATTTTTCCCACTATAATACACTCCGGACCATAAGACGTGGCACCTAGCTTTTGTGGAGGAAAACAAGAAGAAAAAAAAATCTGTCTCTGTCTCCCAGCAATTTGCCTCCATGCAGCAAACAGTCTGGTCAGCTTCAGCACAGCCTGATTTAGCATGAGCAGCTGATTGGCAGTTGGATTTGCCTCCCAGAGTACCGCTGATCAGCTGTTCCAGGCTGTGGAGATCGCTGCCACACAGCGCCACCACCTATCACTGCGTCCGCACACCCCATTTTTGACCTACGCATATCCCATTTTTAGCCTGTTCCAGGTGGGCCAAAAACAGGAGGCCAAAAGGAGGGTGAGCAGAGGCCAAAAATGGGACGCACGGAGGCAGCAATAGGCGGCATTGGTGATGGGCAGCGGTGATCCCCGCAGCCTGGAATAGCTGATCTGTGGTATTCCAGGAGGCAAATCCAACTGCCAAAAAGCTGCTCGTGCTAAATCATGCTGATGGGTGGGCGGGGTTTCGGCAACATTTGCTCTATAAGACGCACAGACATTTCTAACCATTTTGGGAGGGGAGTATGTTTTATATACCGAAAAGTACAGTAATTACTAGATAATGTATTCTTCAAATTGATTTGGCAACTATATGGAAGTGAGTTTTTAAAAATAATTATTTCCCAAACTAGCATTCAGCATATATGGTTTTATATGTTCTGGTATATTTACAGGTAATTCTCAATTTATGATAGGCTGCTTGACAAATATTCAAAGTTATGAGGGATCTTACCAGGACTATTTACAACTTGGATTCAAAGTTCTCTCAAAGGTTTCTCTGCCTCTGATAATATTTTGGATGTTTGGCAACTGGTCTGCATTTATAGTCGTTTGCAGAGTCCTGCTGTCTATTACATTTTTTTTGCCAGAAACCAGGATTAGTTTTGGTTTCCAGCAAAAGCATCCATTGCTTGTTCTCTTAACCATCATAGTGCTTGTTTTACAACTGTTTGCCTAACAACTGCTACAAAAGTCATAAAATCGGGCAGGGTCACATGGTCACTTAATGACCAGCTTAGGGCCATAAATTCCAGGATCTGTTACAGAAGTCATGGAAGTTAAGGACTATCTGTACCGGTCAAATCTGATCTTGCTTAGCTTTTGAAGTTCACCAAGGTGGGCTAATATAGGGGTCACCAAACTTTCGGATCTCAGGGACCACTAAATTCATACCTTTAAATCCCACGGACCACTAATATGATCTGCCTAATGACCGGCTGGGTGGGCATGGGTAGGTGGTCATGTGACTGGGTGGGCGTGGCCAACTTGATGTCTACTCGCCTCTCCCTTCCCAGCCACTCCTTGCCTCCCCACCTGAGCTCCTTAGGGCCCCAAAAGGAAGCAGTTGCTGGAGCTAAGCAGCCACCATGAGAAAGAGTTGACAAAACAGCTCAGTTCAAATTGGATCTGACCAAGAAGGAGGCTCAGCAGAAGCACCTCACTGAGGACTACAAGCATAGGCTTTCCAAGCAGAGAGAAGACCTGCAGGAGTGCAAGGCCAGGTACTGGCACCTGGAGGCTCAGTGGGCTGAGATGATCAGTCAGTTCCAAGCCATGATGCAGTCCCACTGGAACGAGGCCCTCTAGCTCCTTGCCACCAGCGGTACTTCCCTCCCGCCTTCGCCCAAAGCCCCGCACAAGGAGGCTAAAGCAGACCCCAAGTTGGAATTTTTGCCCCCCTCCGACCCACACAAAAAGACCCCAAAGGGGGAGACACTCCGCAGCAACACAAATGTTCACTGCATGTATCCGGCCCAGGAGGCGTAGTTTGAGGATCCCTGATTTAGTGCAATTTAAAAAATGCAAATAATTTTTCTGTGGACTACCAAAATTTTCCTGCGGACCACTGGTTGGTGACCTCTGGACTAATACATTCTTTAGCCATCTATTGGACATGAAAGTTGGATAATGTTAAAATATATCTGTATTGTTTAATGAAATAGTAACATTAAAATAATGTATTTGGTTAAGTCCAAAATTTCAAAAATCTATAATTTTGCCTCCAGTACTATATTACACAGAACATGTTATTGAGGCATGATTGGTAAACTATTTAGCATATGAGTGGAAGTTATGCTTTTAGTTATCATAACTAAATAGACTACTATTTTCCCATGGATAAGAATTTTAGTGATTAAGGCACCAGAAACCAGGAGACTAGATTTTTAATTCTACCTTAAGCAGAAAAACTGGATGGGTGATTTTGGACCAGAACAACCTCACAGGGTTGTTGTTTTGAGGAAAATGGGTAAGAGTACCTATGTTTTATCATATTGAATTATTTATAAAAATAAAAGTAGCAACATACTGTGTGCTAGCTTTCCATAACCTAGTAACAAAGAAGTTTTTTTATTTTGTCAAATGTATTCAAGTTCTCCATCCTGAGCAAGATTATTTATAATTTTCAGTACTGTTTGTAACTCCAATATATCTCCATCAGTACTACCTCTTTTTTACTGTTCTTATACAAGAAAGATAATTTTATCTCTGATCACTATTGCTGATCTTTCCATGAATAATTTTGTGCCACATTATTACTTGTTAAATATCTATGACTATTATGTACCCTGCAACATAAGGATATCACTTTTTGTTTCAGATTGCTAAAGGCCATGTGTGATATTGTGATCAGATTATATAATTTCCCCATATTGGAAGGAATAATATCCCCTTCTCAAATTTCACTTAATTATCATTAGCAGTGACTGTGAGGTTTATTCAATTTTCCATAACCTTAATGATAACCATAATATCATTAAAATATTAATAACAACAATAACATTGGCCCTGACAAAACCACCATCAGTCAATTGCAAGACACAACTTTACTTGGAACATCTTACATCCTAGAACAGTACCTTTGATATCATTGAACAACAACATCCGCCAATCCGAAGTACTTCGGAAGGATTCGAATGATAGATAAAAATGCCAAGTCCCAGCTAAACATCTGACTGACTATGCAGCAAACTACAACAACAATATCCCAGGCTTAATTTATTAATTGAACTTTAATAATTATCTCAGAACTCTTCCAAATGTTGTTGTCTAACTTGTAATTTTAATGTGATAAAAAATTAGTTTTACAGTTATATTATGTCAAATATTGAACTTCTGAGAGGCCTGAACCATACTTCAGAGGCTACATCAAATTGGACTTAAGATGCTGTTCCTTCTGTAACAAATGGATGCTAGTCCTGGCTGTTGGAAATAAAAGATTTCATTGTATATTAAAATTAATTAAATTTTTAATATAGTTCTGGAATTTTGGATTATTGGCTTCATTAAGCCTATATTGTGTATATACCCATTATATTGTGTATATATCCATCTTTAGATGAACAGAAATCAAATTAATGATTCAGTCTAAATGTTTACATGACAGATTATAAGAAGCTGCTTATTATAATTCTATGATGCCATGTGCATTGTGCTACAGTTTTCCAGAAATAGGGAAGGTAGTAATTTTGTACTAACTTATAAGGAAGTAGGAGTGTTATAGAGTCAGGATGGTGTGATAGCTTTAGAAATCAGGAGACGATGCATTCTACTCCTGTCTAAAGCATAAAGCCAGTTGGGTGACTTTGGGCCAATTGTCCGCCCTTAGTGAGAGGAAGAAATGCAGGTATTCCTCACCACCACAACTGAATCCAAAATTTCAGTTGCTAAGCAAGGCAATTATTAAGTGAGTTTTGCTGCATTTTCACCACTTTTTTTATCACAGTTGTTAAACAAATCACTACAGTTGTTAAGTGAATGTCGTAAATTAATCTGGCTTCACCTATTGACTTTGCTTATTGAACACTGGCAGGGAAGGTTACAAATGTTGATCACATAACTACAAGACAGTGCAACTGTTATAAATACATGCCAGTGGCTAAGCGCCCAAACTTTGATCATGTGACCATAGGGATGCTGCAATGGTCATAAGCATGAAAACCAGTCACAAATCACTTTTTCAGTGCCATTTTAACTTCAAACAGTCAGTAAATGAATGGTTGTAAATCAAGGACTATCTGTAATGACAAACTACTAATGCAAGATTCGCCAATCTGTGACCCCTAACCTATTACTGGGCTGTGGCCTATTTGCAACCAGGCCTCTCGCAGCCCCACTCATGCAAGCAGCCAGCGCTCGCAGCCCTAATTGTGCTTCTTTCTTGCATAAGTGTAGTTGCACGTGTGCACATGCTGGCCTGCCGCTCGCATGGCCCAGTTTCCCCTCTTCCCCCAACAAGCCAGCCAGGCTGCCAAGCCACATGCTCCCAATGCTCCAAAAGCAGAGCAGAGACTGAGTGGGACAAGTGTGCCCTGTCAGCTTTGTTGACTTACCGAGGCTGCCTGCACAGGATATCCGATCCAATTTTGGAGCATCGGGGAGTCTCTGAATCTGAAGGGGCACGAGACTGTGCCCCCATGCTAAAAGCATTGGAAATGGACAAAAGGCTTTGGGAGAGTAATCTCATTCTGCTTCAAGCCTTCCATCCCTTTGCAAAAGGTTTTGGCATGGAGAAGTCTGAAGGAGCCGAGACCGCGCCTCAAAGGCTTCTCTTTTGCATGAGTGGAGCTGCATGTGTGTGCTCTGGCCTGCGCTTGCATGGCCCAGTTCACTTCCCCCCAGCCAGGCAGCCAAACAGCAAAGGTTGGGGACCACTGTCCTAGATAATTTTTTAATATTTTTTGCTGATTTACACAAAAACTGCAGCAGATACAGAAGTTTTTTTACACTGCTCATTCTATATACACTGTTGATATATAGTGTTACATTGTTATTTTATTTTAAATCAATTTATTTAACTATTTTATTTTTGACTAATGCGAATTTGATTTTAATTGTTTCATATTTTATTCCATAGGCCTTTTTTATGAATGGTACTCTAAAAGATAAATTATAAATATTATCAAGTAAATGACTATGCAATGCAGGAGTAAGCTACTTGACAAAAATTAGTTCAAAATCATTATCTCCTCTTTATATTTGATATTTTATCTCTGTGTTAGATAGTCATACTTGACATTCTGAGAAATGTACAAATCCTTATATTGTATATTAATTCCCTAGTCTCTAAGACATTAATTTGTACCTTACTGACTGCTGCTCTGGAATGTCAGTCGACTGTATGGGAGGGACTTTTAGAGAATGCCAGAAAGAGAACTGAAAAAAAATATCTGGTATGTCTGGAACAGGGGTGTCAAACTCAGGTTGTCACAGTAGCATCAGGTGATGTATCGATACTTTCCCCCCCTTCTCTAAACCGGGAGTGGGCATGGCCAATATGTGATGCATCCGGCCCATGGGCCGGGAGTTTGTCAGCCCTGGTCTGGAATATGAGTCAGTGTAGTATAGAGATTAAGGTGCTGGTCTAAAAACAGGGGAAATTGTAAGTTCTAGGCCTCCCTTAGGCATGAGAACTGACTGGATGACTTAACAGTAACAATCTTCAATAATAAATTGAATCCTAGATTCCTTTCCTAGTAGCTTCCCACAAGCAACCTCAATGTAGAAGCCAGCAGGAAAGGTTGCAAATCACTCCGGTAAATTGCTTCTACTTTTCTTCTGCCTGTAGCGTCCTCCTATTACTCACACATGCCCTGCACCAGGTCTTCTCCACCCTCCCATGCTACTCTTTATGCTCCTTAACTAGTCTATTTAACTAGACTCATGCCTCTTCCTGCTTAACAACCATCTTGAGGTTACAGTAGCAAGTGAGACTGCCCAGGACTGCCATTGTTAACTATTATATTCTTTTCTATAGTAGTCTTGAAATAATATCGATAAACCAGCTTTTTTTAACAACAAAATCAAATCAAGTAGTATATCTTTTGACACATAGGATTTGTATTTGGGTATAGATATCTTCTTTCTTTTCTCTTTATCTGGCACCAAAACATCTTTCAATATTTTATGAAGCTGTTCCCATGACTGTACATATACATACTCCCTGAGCTCTTCTTTTGAGAAGAACTGCAGGATTATCTCTTTCTCTTCAGTGTTTACATGAAATCTTTGGGAAAGATCATCACTGGTTTAGGATACCTAATTATGTCTTTCAAACCCTGGCCAGCCTAGTGAGCTGTCATGGTTCTGTCCCAGTGTCCAGAAATGCTGCAGGTTTGGATCAGGAGGACCATCTTGACTCAGTCTTACCCAGATGTATGTGTGTTTGGATTTACCAAATCTGATGAAATGCCTTTTTTAAAAAACTTTAGATGGGATTTCATTTCCACTTCAAGGATGGTATACAGTTTGGGGGTCTTCTTGAACTTGCAGCTCCTGCTTGAAGAGCAGGTGCCAATTGTAGCCAGGAAGTCTTTGCAAAACTCCATCTTATTGCACCAGTTCCATTCTTTCATAGATCAGGAGGCCCATTAGACAGTCAGACTTGTTCTAGTCATCTCATAATTTGATTGTTGCAATGCTCTCTATATGGTTTTCCTTGAAAACCATCAGGAAACTCCACCTGGTCCAAAATGCAGTGGTGTTAGCAGTAATGGGCATGCCTTGGTATGCCATTTAATATTTCTGCTTTGTAAGCTGTTTGTTTCAAAGGAGTGGCTGTTATTTATAAAGCCCTACATAGCATAAAGTTACTTGAAGGTTTCCTGTCCTCCATAACATCTATCCAATTCTTTCAACCCTTCAAGATTGGCATTCTCCAGTCAATGAAATAACATCATTGGAAGCACAGCTTCTCTATGTCATGTTTGCCTTCTAGAAAAAGGTTCCACTTAAGATCTGGATGGCCTCACTCAACAGTTGTTTAGAAGAGCTGTGAAGACCATCATTAAGGGACAGTGAGACTTCATTTCTTCATGTTTTCTATCTTTTATCTTTATTTCTTTTTGTGTGTTTTTGTTTTATTATTTTGTTGATTAATTGTGATGAGCTGCCCAAAGGAGCAGCATACAACTTTCATAAATTATTGTTACTATTATTTTACATTTCATGAAATGGACTCTAATATATATAAAATTTATTTGATCATTGTTAATATCTAACATAAAAAGCTCTTTATTTTTGCTGTAGAAGGCTGCTATGCTTCGATAAATTCTTGCAAAATTTGTGTTAGACCTGTTAATAAATGCTCAATTTTTGTTTTTTAAATATAGGTGAAGATGGAGCAGGTAAAACTAGCTTAATTGGAAAACTTCAGGGAATTGAGGAATACAAGAAAGGAAGAGGAATGGAATATCTATACCTAAATGTTCATGATGAAGATAGAGATGGTAAGTACATTTGAGACATGAATATGTTATATTATTACTTGGGGCACATTGCAGTATTTTAAAATGTGTGTCATCTTCATTAATCAACAACTACTAAATAAAATATTCCCAGCACCCAGGCCGCAGCCTACTACCAGGCTGTGGCCTGTTTGGAACCGAGCCGCATGAGCAACTGGCTGGCACACACATGCAAGCAGATCATCTTGGCAAGCGGCAGACCAGTCTGCTTGTGTGCGTGAAGCTCAACTTGTGTTAGCTGGTTCTCTCCCCCTCCCCCCCCCTTCCCGCTTCTCCAGGCTGTCCAGCCATAAACTTCGGGGACTATCTGGGTATTTATGGGAGTTGGTAGGCAAGAAAAAAAGTGAATTTTGAAAGAATGGTTTACACTATAGAAAACATGATGACTGGTTGAGAGTAACTATATAAGATTTAAAAAATCATTATCTTTATTGACTGATACTTGCTATTTTTTTTCTACTCTCAAAAGCACTTCAATAGCCTATCTTTGCATCTTTTCCCCATAATTTCTAATCATTTTCCCAACTGTTTATCTTTCATACTGAACATTACATTAAAGTGTACAATTTCCCCCAATCCCAATATTTCTTACTTGGTTTTATTTTGTATTTTTCTTTTTTGTATGTTTTTTCTTTTAAAACATTGTCAAAATTCACTTGATATTTTGCAGATTTGTATTCTTCTGCTAATAAAACAAAAACTATTTCATTGTGAATCATGATGAAGTTTTTAGTTCCAGCTACTTAAAATATATTTGATCAGATAAGAATTCAATTCTTATTTTTAATGAAAGGTGCTACCATGTTTTCTTTCATAAGAATTTTTTTAAGAAGATATTTGCTATTAAAATTCAGTGTAAGAATAATTGTGCTGTATAGATCTATGATTTATTCTTTTAATTTATATTAATGAGCTATTTGACTTCTGCTTTGTTTTTAGATCAGACAAGATGCAACGTATGGATTTTGGATGGTGATCTGTATCATAAAGGCCTGCTCAAATTTGCAATAGAAGCCACCTCTCTAAAGAATACTTTAATTATGCTGGTAGTAGATATGTCTAAACCATGGACTGCTTTAGATTCATTACAAAAATGGGCAAGTGTTGTAAGAGAACATATTGACAAATTAAAAATTCCTCCTGAAGAAATGAAAGAAATGGAGCAAAAAGGTAAGTATTATATAAACATGTATTTAATACATGTTGGGAAATTATCTATAGCTTTATCTTAATTATAAAAGCATATTTTTTCATTCTGAAGATATTAGCTATTATAATTGTCAATCTTCTCTATCAAAGCATATCTAATGATGACTTTATATCTAGCATCCATTTTTATGTTAAAACTAATTGGAAGAGATCTTAAGAGGCAATATAAATCTTATCTTTTAATTAAAAATTAAATATTTTTAATGTATTATATTGACATATTTATATGTATAAAATATACTGTTTAATTGAATTTTTTAAAAAACATAATATTTAAATGCACATGTGTTTTTTTTCACCTGTGTCTTCTAAAAATGGTCATTTTGGAAATGCAATTGGGTCAAAATATCTGAAAATAAACATTATTAAAATATACTTCTGATATTAGCAGCCTGCTCCATAATTGATGAACTCCATTGTTACTCAGAGATAGACTTTTCCATTATATCCACTAAATTCTACTTTTAATATAAATAAAAACTTCTTATATATAAAGAAGATACTATGGTATCTTATTTTATTAAATCAGCTTTAATGTGCTGCAAATCAAAAATCAATAATTTGATGCTCTTCAGATGTTTAGCTTATAAATTATTAGTGATGCTGGTTGAGTGATAAAAGCTTGGCCTATTTTAAGATAGTCCTAGAGAGTTATTTTGGACTTGAATATGTAGATTATTCCTAAACTATGAGTTATAGGATAGTAAATAACTTTTTGAATTAGGGGTTTTTCTAAGCAATGGACAAGATCTTTCAATTCAAAAGTCTACTTCTCTCTTCTGTAGATTGATTATATATGTATGTATTTATTTATTTATACCTCATATTTCTTCTCATTTCTCTTAAAATTAATGCTTAATTTTTAATTAGGGCTATGAGTACTTTGAAAATGATTTGTTTTTCTTAATAATTTTAACTGAAAAAATTTACAATAAAAAAAAATATAAACTAAACTCAGAAAGAAAAATAGAAATAGAAAGAATAAAAAGTTCAAAGAAAGAAAAAAAGAAATTTAAATAAAGAAAAAGAAAAGAAATATTTAAAGATGTGATTTCTGATCTTCATCACTAGTGCAGGTAGTCCTCAATTTATGACCATAATTGAGCCTGGAGTTAAGTTGTAAATTGTTATGGTCATAAGTTGAGACATCACATGATTGGACTCAATTTTTTCAGCATTTTTTGCAACAGTTGTTAAATAATGTAGTCATTAAGCGAACACCGTTGTTGTTAAACAAATCCATTCTGGCATTTTTACCAGAAATCAAAAATTGGAAACTAGCAAAATATGTCAAAAATCACATTAATATGATCACAGGGGACACCACAGAGAACCGTAAATTTGAGCAAGTTGCCATGTACCCAAATCGCTGTCGTGACCATGGGGGGCGGGGAGTATGTATTGCAGCCAATGTAACTTTAAAATCAGATTGCAAATATTTTTGTAGTGATCTGTTGTAACTTTGAACAGTCACTAAGTGATCAGGCATAAGTCGAGGACTACCTGTATAAACAAATTTAAGAACTCTTTCTCTGCTATCAGGTTATAAACAAATATATCTTCTTCTTGTAATCCATACCAAATTTATATGCAAATCTATATATCCTCAACTTTTCAGACCTGCTGTCAACAAAAAGGGTTACTAGAGCTTTACAGTAATATGTCTTATTTTAACCATGGTCAAACAAATCAACTTTATATTTCTTCCGTTTACTTCTAACAATCTTAATCTTTAATTCATTCAGATATTTTGTAGGATTTGATTTTGTTTTTCTTTTTACCATCCTAAAGGCTTCTTCGAGGCTTTAGCAAACCCTCTTTTATAAATCCAATAAAAAGTCATTATCCAGGTAATTCTCTTAGTTTATAATTTGTATTTCCACTTTAATTTCCTAAACTTTAACCCAATTTTGGGGGGTTACAATTTCTTTTGTACCAATAGAAAATCTGTCCAGGTCATTTTCTTGGCTTGTCATTTGTGTTTTACTTTAGTTCCCTTTTTTATTATCCAATATTTATGGTTCTAATATTTCTACACCAGGCAAAATTTGTTTCACGTATATCATCCTTAATTAACATTGGTCCATAGAAACAGGCATCATTGCTCACATTATAGTTACTAATTTCTGATCCCATTCTTCAAAAACCTTCTACAGTAGATAGTTCAAATGTCATGTTTTGTGTCATTTTGTAAATCCTAGTACTAACCAAAACCAAAAGACAAGCTAATAAGAGAGTAGTTTAAATTTCAGATTGAAATAGGACAATAGTAAGACACATCCAATCATATGAGTTAATGTTGCAGTCCCTGAGTTATATCTTGACCAGCAGTTAGCTATCAATTCCATAATGTTCTGGCTGAATTTTCTCATTCCTCACATTAGCCCTGTATCTAGGACAGGAAAAAAAAAGAGCTGAAGAAAGAGAGTATAATTATACTCTAGTTCTTATTCTAAATATAGAATTTTGTAATCTTTAATGGCCTCAGGATTAAAAAAAGTTAAAATAATACATGTTTAAATAAGCCATCAGGAAGCACTCTAATTGTAATTGTATAACAATTTAAAGTTGATCCAAGGTAATACTAAGAAAGCTATACTGTAGTTGAAGCCTAACTATTTTTAGGTTGTAACAAAATAAGAAAGCGCATTTCAGTATTAAAAGTTTTTAAAATATCTATTATACATAAACACTTTAATGAAATAATTATACTGATTTTGTGCAATATTTCTGAGACTAAATTTCTTAGCTACAATGTCTCATTGAAACATTATGAATGTAAACTAGATAACCTTCTGCATTGAAATATCCTCAGAATTGATATTACAAAAAGCAAAGAATGATTTTTTAAATTGTCCTCTTCTTAAAAAAAAAAGCTGGTGTTTATATTTGCCTTTATTATCTATTTCAAGTTATCTTCTTATGCAGTATTCAGAATTTTTTTACAGATTGCAACTTATGCTTAAAAACGTGATTATATATATATGAGCCGTGGTGGCACAGTGGTTAGAATGCTAACTTACTGTTCACTGCCAGGAGTTTGATTCTGACCAGCTCATGTTGATTCAGCCTTCCATCCTTCCAAGGTTGGTCAAATGAGGGCTTAGGTTGTTGTTGGACTCTGTAAACTGGTTAGAGAATGGCATAAAACACAGTGAGACGATATATAAGTAGGTGCTATTGCTATTGCTATATAATATTTCTCTGGTGCCTATTAATTAGTTTTTTAAAAAAATTGAAATGAATAGCAATATTCTCTGGAAGAAAGGCAAACATAATTGAAAAGGATATACAGCCCTTGACTTACAGCCTCAATTGAGACCAAAATCTTGGTCGTAAAACAAAGTGGTTGTTAAGCGAGATAGCTATCATATGACTGCTTCTCTCAACAACCATAATCTTGGCATTCCTGGTTGCAGTTGTCAAGTAAACTTGTGGGTCATTAAGCAGAAAGAGTCACAGTTATTGAACATAGGATGCCTAAGAAGGAGGGGAAGAGACCCTCGGAGGCCCAAGCATGCTGCATGTGAGTCTTTCTCTGCTTCAGAGCTGAAAATCCCTCCCTTCCAAAATACAAGTAGGATTTTCAGCCTCTGAGCAGAAAGACACTAGTACACAGCCTGCATTGCCTCTCTTAGGGCCTTCCCCAGCCTTCTGAGGCACGCCATGCTCTTACCTTATTGTGCTACTACTCTATCCAGGAAAATCCTGCTCGGATTTTGACTTCCTCTTGTCTGTGGACTGGCTTAAAGAGTTGCCTGTCAAAGGAATTTATTTCACTACCTGCTTGGATTTCAGCAATCCATGCAGGCACAGAGCTTTTTTCAGTCAGCCCACAGAGTAAAAGGGTTCCCTGCCAAAGGTTTTCAGCTCCATACCTGCTTGGATTGCTGAAACCCCAGCAGGCACGGAATAGAAATCCTTTAGCAGGCAACTCTTTCAGCCAGCCCAGAAGAGCTTTTGGAAGGTGCAGCAGCTTGCAATCTTCCCTGCCAATTTCCTCATTGATAAATATGAGAAACCAGCAGAAAGGATTACAAGTAATGATTATATGGCAATCTCTCATGAATATGAACAGGTTGTCAAACATTCAGATAGTGATAGAGATGTGACATTTTACAGGCTGTACAACACCCTTTCTGGGGCCATTGTTAGTTGAACTATTGTTAGGTGAATAGTAATAAGTAAACCTGTAATATTTTTGATAGAAATGCAACGTTTAGGGAGAAAATAATTTATTTTTCTTTTCTTTCTTTTCTTTTTTCAGTCGTTAGAGATTTCCAAGAATATACAGAACCAGAAGATTTTCCAGCTTCTCCACAAAGTAGAAATACTTCATCACAAGAAGACAAAGATGATAGTGTTATATTACCTCTGGGTGCAGATACACTAACGTGTAACTTAGGCATTCCTGTCATAGTAGTTTGTACAAAGGTTTGTTCCATTTTAATTAAAGCTATATGTCTTCAAATAATTTAATTAGACCTTTAAATTAATTGGCTCATTAACATTTAAGATAAAATAATATATTGCTTTTTTTAAAAAATCTTATTTTTAGTCATTTCTTATCTCTTTTATTCTCAATATATTGTAAACTGGTAAATGTGAAGATTATATGTCTTTGCATGTAGGCTTCAAATGAATTTTAGATTGATGCTAATTATGGTTTTGGAAATGATAGAAATCCTGTATATTAATGTAAATATTGTATACTATTTTATAAATTGGAAGTTTCTAGACATGCAGGTAAAAATAAAATTCTACATTAAACCCAACTATCTGCATTAGATCAACTATTTACAACTATTTATACCCCTACCCCAATATCCTACATTAACCCCAACCCCAACAACCAATTATTAACTCCAACAATAATTATTTTACTTCTTTCTAGTGCGATGCCATTAACCTTCTGGAAAAAGAACATGATTACAGAGACGAACACTTCGACTTTATTCAGTCATATATCCGACGATTTTGCTTACAGTGTATCCTTTATGAGATATACCTAGCATTAACGTTCAATTTAGATTATTGTAAAGGTCATTCTATGCTCTCAAACCACTACTGAAATAAAAAAGATTAAGGTGATAAGATTATTCTATCTTGATCTTATAGACTGAAATGTCACTAAATGTTTCACTTTTATAAAGTCTTTGTTCTTCCTTCCTTTCCAAACAATCAAACCAGGAGCTATCTTTTAATATTATAGAGAAAAATTGTTGAATAATAATTTGAAGTTTGCCTTATTTATGTTCATTCTAAAGTTAGTCGCTATCCAGTCTTGTATAGGAAAAATAGGAAACTATTAATTATAATATTTACTTGCCTGTGTCATAAAAGAAGGAATAAAAGGTCTATAGGAGTGATCAGATGGATTTTTCTTGTTTTATTGGTATACTGTACACATTGGTACAAGTAAACACTGGCAATACTAGTTTAGTGTCATTGGAATCACAACTTGGTCGTTAAGTAAGTGATCACTAAGATAAATTATTATCTTACTTCAGCTTTCTTTTGCTTTAAAGATCTGAGAAGGTTGTAAATGCAAAAATTGGTCTCAAAATTACTTTTTCACCATAATTTCATGCCATAATTCCAAACAGTCACTATATGGGGCACTCATACTACCTATATTATAAAAACATATAGCATATATGATAAAAAACATATAGCATACTATCTATATGATAAAAATATGTTTTATAACAAATTATTAAATTGTTAGATTTGGCACAATTATGAAATTATAGATTTTTAAACTTGGTGGATATTAGTATATCTTTAAGAAGGTAATATTTTCAGAGTATGTAGATTTGCAAAAATTAAAATGTAGGATTTTCTTTAACAAATAATTCAGATGGTGCAGCACTTATTTACACTTCAGTGAAAGAGAATAAGAATATTGATTTAGTTTATAAATATATTGTCCAGAAATTGTATGGATTTCCTTTCAACATACCTCCTATTGTTGTGGAAAAAGATGCAGTATTTATGTAAGTTATTTAGTAATAGGATTTCTGTACAATTCTTTAAAATATTGTTGCTTATTGTTGATGTTTTAAATTATTTTTTAATTTAGATTTCCAATTGCTGAAATTGAAGAATTTTTTAGATTCTCTGGGAGGAGAACTTTTAAGACAGAAGAATGTTTTTCTTGTCACACTGAAACCTCCCATTTTTGTCCTATAAGCTTTAAAAGGCTTCCAAAAGAAGTATTTAATTGCTCTATATTGGATTAAGAGAGGAAAGTATATTCAAAATAGTAATAAATAAATTCTCTTTCTGCATTTGTGTGTGAATTTTTACTGTGAATTTTTTATTTTAAATTTCAAAAGGGACTCCATAAATTTAATACGAAAAGAACAGGTATTTTTGTATGGCAGAGAATGAAAAATGAATAATTGAAATCTGTTGTGTGATAGAGTTTTGCTTTCAGTCCTACAGGCTGGGACAATGAAAAAAAGATAGGAATATTACATGAGAACTTTCAGATTTTAAAAGTCAGTGACAACTTTGAAGATATTGTTATAAAGCCACCTATCAGAAAGGTAATTCCTTACATAATTAAAAGTCATATTAGTATATTGGTTTATTTGCAATCTTAGAAAATCTTAAACAATAATGTGTGACCTGCTATTTAACATAAAACTGAAATTTCTTTTTTGGTTGTAATCTGAATCATACTTAGAAGTAATTATGATTTAATAAAGCTGTGATTTTAATTTCAAATTAGGCTGGTTTCCTCTTTACAGTACTGATCTTTTTAAAAAAACTTGCTGAAAACTGAGCTGTTTTAGAGACCCTTTTCCATCTTTATTTTTGTATTTTTGCCTTTCTTGATATTATGTTTTTTGCTTATGCTGTTTATTGTTATTTTTACTTACGTTGGGTTTTTAGATTGTACAATGGGTATCTTAACTATATATATTATTCTATGTAAGCTAGAGAAATCTTTTTGAATTACAACAGGATAGAAATACATGAAATCTATCTATCCAATCATTCAATCCATAGCTATGGTATCTTTCAAAAGTAGGATTGGGAATATCATTTTCAGTAGGGTATAAATTGATGTTATAAAATGTTGTAATAAATTTTACTTATAAGATTGTTTCGGAGGGATTTTCTCATCTTTTAATGTTAGGATATATTACAAATTTGCTTTTAAATAGTTATTTCTTCTGTTAACGTGATATCTGTTGGTTGCCTTGATATCATGCTTAAAATACAAAGACTATCATACCTTATCACGTATCTTTATAAATAAATAAAAATAAACATTTTCAGGATGCTGCATGTGAGTTCAAGAGCATAATTGTTCCTTTACCTGTATTAGAAAACTAGGAAGACAGCATTATTTATAACTGTTTTTCAACAATAAATTGGTCATTTTTCTTAGCAAAATCCAACATTGTTAATTTCAGATAAATGAATGAATTTGTCAAAGAAATGAAGCTTGTCAAATAATATTGGCTGTATGTTACCCAGAGCTGGTTTTAGATTCTGGCTTTACAAAAGTTTTAATAAACACATAAATCGAATTGTATTCTTGATTTATATTATAAAAATATATTGTTTTTCTGCTGTAATCAAGATGATATAGGTTCCTTGAACCATATCAACTAAAACTGACATTCAAAAAGGTAACATTGCAAATAACCATACAAAAAGTACTTGGACTGCTAAGAAAAGGCAGAGAGCTACATTAATGCAACAGAAGTATGGAAGTCTTCTCCGATGCTATTCTTGAATGTTTATAGTAACTAGCTTAGCACTTAACTCCAATACTATTATTTATTTATTGGATTTTAATACCACCTTTATTATTTTTATAACAGTGCTTAAACAGCAAAATTAATAATGCAGTCTTACAGAGCTCTCTTTTGTGTTAGGCATATTTTCCTTCTAATAGCCCAGCCACTCATAATCTCTTAAGAAGCTCATAACATAGCATGTAGTCAAGAGGTCCTCTCATTTCTGTCCAAAAATCAGTTGTCAGTGTTAAACTATCTGAATATGAAAGTTCTTATTTTATACTAGAATACCCAGTGATGTGTTGGTTATTTGTGAATTTATATGATAGCTTGATAAGATTCTTACCAATTGGAACTTGCAAAACCACTGCCTTGAGAAATTCATCCCAGAGTCATAAGTATTTTATGATAAGTAACAAAAAGATAAGAGATTCGTTAGGAGATTTGATTGGTTAAATGAGGCCTAGGCTATTTAAGAATTTTAAAGGTCACAATAATGCTGGGAGGATGGCTTTCTGATATTTATGTATCTCATATTTTGCTAGACTCATTTTAATAAGTTTTTGTTGTTACAGTTTGTACATGAAAAGGAAATAGTGGCAGAAGATGATCAAGTATTTCTTATGAAGCAACAGGTATTAATCTGTACTTTTCATAGTCATTAAAATGTATTTTAATTTGAATTAACTTTAATGTATATTTTAACGTTTATGAAATTCTTATGCTGTTGCATGTTTGATTGTGTTTTTTAGACTCTGTTAGCCAAACAGCCACCTTCTACAACTGGACGGCCAGTGGTTAGTAAAAAAAAATAAATAACTTTCTGGTATTAGTAATTTACAAATGTTTTGTTCTAATGTAGTAGAGTGGCACATTTCTAATAATATTTCACGGTCACTGCATTTTGTACCTGAAATCTTCAACCTTTTGCTTCTTTTAGACTATATATATTCTGTAACAACATTTTTGTTACAGAACATTTTTTTGAATTCAGTGGGACTTATGAGTAAATGTAAAACATTGTTCTGCTAAACTGTATATCCTATCTTTTGTTCATTTCATTTTTTAACTCTTTGTATAAACATTAATCAATGAAATTGGATGATATCTTTACTTGCTTTTAATATAACTAATTTAAGCTTGATTAAAAGTCATTTCTAAACATTTCTTACCAGATATCTCTTCAAACTTGACAAAGTTTTGGTACCAAAAAATCTATAAATGCTTTATAGCACTCAATGGGGAATCCTGGTGTTTTACCTTTTGCCATTTTTTAAATTACTGGTTTAATCTCTACTTCAGATAGTGGAGGAAATAATACTTATTTTGGGTTATTAAATGTGGTAGATTAATTTTATTTTAAAAGACCTCTATGTCTTCATTGATCCTCTGGTTTACTATATAATTCTGAATCACTTTTTATTCTAAAAAATAATCCCTGAACATCACTTAAGAAAAAATTAACTCCAAATTTTTAGATTTTGAAGACATGAGATATAGGCCAAAATTGAGATGTTTCGCAAAGTTTTGCCAATGTTGCTAATGTTATTCAGATGTTGATAGTGGAAATTAATATTCAATCAATCATTCAAAATTTTATTTTGGACAAGACCAGCCAAGAAGTTTATAATGAACCTCATGTTTTTTTCTTCCTAATAAGTATTATATTAAAAGGTTTTCCTTATCTGTTCAGTATGTTCAGTGATCATCAGTCTATTCTTGTTCATTCTATCAATCTATATGCCTTAAATTACAATCTCATTTTCTTTTTTGTATTTGCATAAAGTTTCCCCCTTTTCCTAATCTTTGTTAACACATTGATAAAAAACTTAATTTAGAAAACTTATTTTATAGGAAAAAGAAAGGAATTGATTATTTTCATTCTTTCAAGTTGCTAACCTGAAATAAACTGCCATTTATTCTAATCATTTATAGATAACCTGATTCATAACTATAGTCTTAAGAGAGTTTTTCCCCCTATAGGCAGCTAATCTAAGTAGAATATTTTAAACATTTTAACATTTTCCAGATGGTCTTATGTCCATGAGATCAGTGATTTACATTAGGTTCATGTTCTGTGTAGGACACCTCACAAAGGGTTCCTGGAGGATCACCCAGGACACAAAACAGATCTGTAACCTCCAATGTTACCAGTGTTACATCCATCCCTGCTGGATCTAAAAAAATAGATCCTAGTATGAAAGGTAAAACACTGAAGATATTATTAATTTATTGTAATTGTTTGGGATTTTGGTTTAATACTCAGTTGATGAGGCAAGCCTTTATATATAATTGACATTTATTTATTTATATTTGTATCCATTGTATAACAATTTTATTATGTTTAAGCATTTCAAATTAAACTACAATATATTATCACTATGTCATGGAAATTTTTCAGCTGGAGCTACAAGCGAGGGAGTATTGGCAAACTTCTTCAACAGTTTGCTGAGTAAGAAAACTGGAGCACCTGGGGGACCCAGTAACATTGGTAGTCCAGGAGGAGTAGGAGGCACTGGAAGTGGTAGCAATAGTAATCTGCCGCCATCTGCAAAGAAGTCAGGTAAGAATTTTAGCTGAACTGAATTTAGATTAACTAAAGTCATATTAAATGCTCAATCAACTACTGTAGATACAGTCTAAAAACTTACCGATATAAAATGATTTAACATTTAAGTTTAGTGATTTGTATTTTGGCTGATATTCCTCATTGTTACAAGTAATCTAATGTACAAGATCATAAATCCTTCTACAGAGCTTTAACTCTTGCTCTCTTTTTGTTTATAACTTGTAAATTTATTGAAGTCTTAAAGGTGTTTTATGGGAAGCCCTTACTGCATGTGATTTTGGCAAAACAAAAAACAACATTGGTTGGTTGGTTGGTTGATTGATTTGTAAAATTTATTAGGCGCCATCTTACCACAAAGTAACTCTGGGTGGCTTATGATCTTAAAAAGATAAAAACTATATAGATAGTCCTTGACTTACAATCACAATTGTGCCCCAAATTTCTGTTGCTAAGTGAGACATTTGTTAAGTGAGTTTTGCCCCATTTTATCACCTTTCTTGCCACAGTTCTTAAATGAATCATTGTAGTTGTTAAATTAGTAACTCAGTTGTTAAGTAAATCTGGGTTCCCTATTGATTTTGCTTTTGAGAAAATTCCAAAAGATGATCACATGACATGGGACATTGCAAGCATCATAAATATGAGTCAGTTGCCAAGCGTCTGAATTTTGATCTCATGACCATGAGGATGCTGCAACAGTCATTAGTGTGAAAACCGGTAATGTCACTTTTTTTCAGTCCCGTTGTAAATTTGAATGGTCACTAAACAAACTGTTGTAAGTCAACGACTACCCAATTAAAAGTGGGGAAGGCAGAAGTACGATGGGGAACAGATGGGATATGTTATTAATCTATCACTCCTCTCCATTGTAAGATTCTTGCATTGGAGCCCCAAGCTAACTGGCAGAGCCAGGTCTTTAGGCTTTATGGAAGGTTAGGAGGATTTGAGTCGACCTCAGTCCCAGGGACAATATGTTCCAAAGTACAGGCACATACTAATTTCCTGTTGTTTCTATTTTCTCCAAGTCATATTATAAAGACTGTTTAGATACAATTATGACAGAGAGAGATACATTATGGTAGGGCTGTCAAACGTGCGGCCCGCAGGCCGGATGCATCATGTGCTGGCCACACTCAGTTTAGCAAAGGGGGGAAAAGTCACAATATGCCATGTGATGATGCCATGAGGATGCGAGTTTGACACCCCTACACTATGGCATGGCAAACTGACATCAAGACAAATAATGTATTATCTTTGTAACAGTAAAGTTATACTATTGCTAATGCTCCAGTATCTTTATTGATTGTTCAATATTTCTTCATACTCTAAAATGATTATTTCTACAGCATAAGCAGATATTTGTCTCTCTTATTGCTCTTTTGTGGGTTAATGGGAATGAGTGAGATATTGTTCATCTTTAAAGGCCGTTTCCCTCTCCTTCAGCCTAGAATATGTACTGTATATGTCTGTTTTCTTATAGTATTTTGAAGGTACATTGATAGGAAGTTAGTATAGGAAATTATTGTCACCAATGCATTCTTTCCTAATATATAAGTATAAACATGCTATTTGTGATGCTGATTTTTTAGAGTTTTTATGGAATATCTTTTCTTCTCAGACTTTTCCTAAGACTTTACCAGTTCTTCCTTGTCAACTTCTTCATTCCATAATTGGTAATGAGAGATTAAAATCATCTCATACTACAAAATTGTATACTTCAAATGTTCTCGCCACAATTTTTACCTTAACAGTATAAAAGATTGTGGACGGTATCTTGGAGCTGAAATTGGCTTTTAAGAATATAGTAAGATAAATTGTTAAATAGAATATGGCTATCAGAACACAACTTTGGGAAAGCATTTGTTTTATCAAAGAAAATTAGAGGGGGGAAAAAACCTAATGCACCTCAAAGAAACCAGGTAAAGACACTTGTTACAAGATTACATTTATGAAAGTAAGTCCACAGCATGTATTTTCAATCTGAAAAAATTATGTGAAAAGAATTTTAGTATTAGTTAAAAATATGTAGCAGTAATATCAAATTCTGTAATAAAAACATACTTGGCATACAATGCTTGCCTGGAAAATTATTTTTAAAATTATTGCTTCTTTTTTTTATAGGGCAAAAGCCTGTTTTGACTGATGTTCAAGCTGAATTGGATAGAATCTCACAAAAACCAGATTTGGTTTGTCCAACAACACCTATGTCCCCCACAGAAGGTGGGGCATCTTGAAGTCACCAAATATAGCCATTTATTCATTTTTATGGGATTATTTAATTGACTCAGCCTCTTCATCCAATGTCTGGAACTGGAAAACTGAAATACTTTCAGAAAAGGACAAACAGATGATGTCTGTTGTATTGCTGAACATTGTAAAATGGAATTGCATAGATAAAATTATTACACAATGTAATACTAGTATTCACAATTCAGTGTGATATTCAGATACGGTTATTCCTTAAAGTCAGTGCCATTCTCTAAATTTGAAGGTGTCCACTTAATCATTTGAAATCATAAATCTGCTTGAAGAGTTGGCAAAATGATATGCAAGAAACATGGGCACTTAATTTATATTGAACTCTCATTTTAACTTAACTCAGTTTTCCTTTTGGAGAAGGATCTAATTTTTTTGGAGAAAAGTTAATCAACCATTGTTCTTTAGCACACCATTAATAAACTAACTCAAATGTTAACACTGTTTGGAATATGACTTCAGATTATGCTGATCTCATTTGAAATCTAACTGCATTACACTGTTTGAATTAAGAACTGCAGTATTGAGGATTCATTTCAAATTATTGGCATGGGAACTTTGGGCTTCTAAATTTCTGAAAAATAAATAAAAAGTACATGTGAACATTATTCTCAAATTAATAAAAATAAAATCCTTAGATTTGTTCTACATTTAATGCCTTAATACTCATTTTTGTTGTTTAGATAGAAATCTCATTTAAAAACTTTCATACAGATTTCAGCATGTTTTTGTAATACCTATTTCTTTGCTTTTGGGAATGTCACATCTATCTTATCTGTTTGTATCCCATCTTTATTATGTTTACAAATAACTCAAAGCAACAAACATATCCAATGCCTTCCATCTCCTATTTTCTCCACAATAACCACCCTGTCAGGTGAATTGGGCTGAGAGAGAGTGACAGCCCAAAGTTATCTAGCTGGCTTTCGTGGCTAAGACAAGACTTGAACTCACAATCTCCTGCTTTCTAGCCTGTTGCCTTAACCATTAGACGAACTGACCAAACTGGCTCTTTTAGTTTAATAAATTAAATTCTAATAAGTTGTCTTCTAGACTGTTTATTAGATTTTGGTGGTCTTATACAGTATAGAAGTACTCTGAATACTATAGGTTCATCCATAAGCTTTTAAGCATCTCCTTTGGATTCCTCCTTCCTCAAACAATGTCTCATGAAATTCTGCCTTTCACGAGTAATATGCAATACGGTATTTATGGTTTATGTTTAACAAATCCAAAGCATACTTAAATAATTACATGATTGCGCAACTTGGGTGATTGGCCAGTATGTCAGCAAGGGAAGAAAAATACAGATCCTCACATAGTGTTCTATTTTTAAAACTTCAAATAACATTTAGTTCTCTTGAATATATTACATTCTTAGACAACAATTTTTTAAAAATGTAATCAGCTTGAAGGGGTTTTCTTGGCATTTCTAAGAACACATGCACGGCCCTGTTGCGAACTGTTAGTAATGGTAAGTAAAACCCACCCCTGCACCACCTGATGGGGTGAGCAGAATTTGTGTGCAGGTAGTCCTCGAGTTAAATGACCATTCAAAATTACAAGAGCACTGAAAAAAAGGAATATGGCATGACCATTGCAGCATCCCCATAGTCACATGATCAAAATTTGAACACTTGGCAACACATTCAGGAAGGTTGCAGTGTCCTGAGATCATGTGATCACCTTTTGTGACTTGATAATGTCAATAGGGAAGATTCATTTAACAACTACAGTGATTTACTTAACAACTAATTTCTACACCTTGATTGTTTACCTGTGGTAAATTAAATTGGACATGATTTGGAAAAGAGCACACTGCTATAGAAGGCTTCACAGCGAACAATACTTAGTGTAGCAAAGCAAAAGCCATGACGTCAAGGAACTGCTTGCAGAGCTCAGAGACAGGATTATTGCAAGGCACAGATCTGAGGAAGGCTACAATAAGATTTCTGCCACATTGAGAGTTCCTAAGAGCACAGTGGCCTCCATAATTCTTGAATGGAAGAAGTTTGCCACTACCAGGACTCTTCCAAGAGCTGGAGCAATTGGGGAGAAAGGCCTTAGTAATAGAAGTGACCAAGAACCTGATGGTCACTCTGACTGAGCTCTAGGGATCCTATGTTGAGATGGAACAGAGTTCCAAAAGGGAAACCATCACTACATCCCTCCACTGATCAGGGCTTTATGGCAGAGTGGCTAGATGGAAACCTCTCCTCAGTGCAAAACACATGAAAGCCCGCTTGGAGTTTGAAAAAAAAAAAAAAAAAGCACCAGAAAGATTCTCAGACTGAGGAACAAGATTTTCTGGTCGATGAAACCAAGATTAAACCATTTGGCCTCAATTCTAAATGTCTTGAGAAATGAGGCACTGCTCATCACCTGCCCAATATCATCCCAACAATGAAGCATGGTGGTGGCAGCATTATGCTTTTTTCAGTAGCAGGGACTGGGAGACTGGTCAGGGTTGCGGGAAAGCTGAATGGAGCAAAGTTCAGGGATATCCTCAATGAAAATCTGTTCCACAGTGCTCAGGACCTTAGACTGGGCCAAAGGTTCACTTTCCAACATGACAACAATCCTAAGCACACAATCAAGACAACACAGGAATGGCTTAGGGACAACTCTATGAATGTCCTAGAGTGGCCCAGTCAGAGCCTTAACTTAAACTTTATTGAACATCTCTGGAGGGACCTGGAAATGACTACCACCGACTATCGCCATCCAACCTGACTGAGCACAAGAGGATTTACAAGGAAGAATGGCAGAAAATTCCCCAATCCAGGTGTGCATGTCACACCCAAAAATATTTGAAGCTGTAATTGATGCCAAAAGTGCTTCAACAAAGTATTGAGTGACGGGTCTGAATATTTACACCAATGTGATATTTCAGTGTTTTCTTTTTAATAAGTTTACAAACATTTCTAACATTCTATTTTCGCTTTGTCATTATGGGGTACTGAGTGTAAATTAAAAAATGAATTTTAACAACTAGAATCAGGCTGTAGCATAACAAAAGTGACAAAAATGAAGGGGGCCTGAATACTTTCTGAATGCACTATGTATTTCATGGATATTTATATGTTCTGCTTGCTCTTTGGGGAAATGCGTTATTTGTATAGCTACCATTGCAAATGTGATTCTCTGTTCCTTTCAATTTGACACATGGTTTCTGTCTGATAATCAAAGCTTGCTGTGAGATTTAAGAGCAGAGATAACCTTTCTGAGGTAACCTAAGTGGGCTTTAGCCGTTCAGTGTTTTAAAAGAAATATTAGAATCATATTTGGCTGCCAGAGAAAACAGCTTTTACTTCGTGGTGCAGTTACATCAAGTAAAAATTCCCCAAACAAACAAATATGCAGCATTAAAATGGTAAGACTTGGTAAGTGGCACAAATGACTACCTGGATTAGCATTGTTCATTTTAATTGTTGCAGATTACCATTTATTGGAGCTCAAAAGTACATTTTGAACTTTAACAATTTAATTTAAAAAAGTAACAATCCCCAAATATAAGGAATTTTCTTTAAAAGCAAGTAAACGGAAATTTAGAGCCAATTTGATGTAGCATCAACTAGAAATTGGGAGACTGTGAATTCTGGTCCAGTCTTGGGCACAAAGCCAGCTGTAACCACTTACTTTCTGCCCTGGGAAAAGGCAATGGCAAACCACTTATGAAAAAACCTTGCCAAGAAAACTGCAGGGATCTGTCCATGCAATCTCCAAAAATCAAATGTAACTGTATGAAAAAAAAGTTAATTGGAAGTGATTAACGTATTAATTAATTAGTTACTGATGTTAAATCTATTCCTAAGAAGTTGTAAGTACTCAGAAGCTTCCCTGCAACCTTCCAAAGTAAGCACCACTTTTTGTTAGTTGTGAAGTGGTGTCCAACCCATTGCGACCCCATGGACAACTTTCCTCCAGGCCTTCCTGTCCTTTACCATCCTCTGGAGTTCATTTAAGCTCACACTGATTGTTTTACTGACTCCATCCAGCCACCTCATTCTCTGTTGTCCCCTTCTTCTTTTCCCCTCAATTGTTCCCAGCATTAGGCTCTTCTCCAGTGAGTCCTTCCTTCTCATTAAGTGGCCAAAGTATTCGAGTTTCATCTTCAGGCTCTGGTCTTCTAAAGAGCAGTCAGGGTTGATCTCCTCTAGGGCTGATCAGTTTGATCGCCTTGCAGTCCAAAGGACTTGCAGGAGTCTTCTCCAGCAGCATAGTGACGGGAGCAGCCTGGCGCTCCCATGTAACACCGCTCCTGCGCAAGCTGCACTGGCTCCCAGTGGTCTTCCGGGTGCGCTTCAAGGTGTTGGTTATCACCTTTAAAGCGCTCCATGGCATAGGGCCTAGCTATCTTCGAGACCGCTTGCTGCCACCGACGATCTCCCATCGACCCGTGCGCTCCCACAGAGAGGGCCTCCTCGGGGTGCCATCAGCCAAACAGTGCAGGCTGGTGATCCCCAGGGGGAGGGCCTTCTCTGTGGGGGCACCTACCCTCTGGAATCAATTGCCTCCAGAGATAAGGAGAATCCAAGACCTTGGTGCCTTCCGCCGTGCCCTTAAAACCTTCCTTTTCCAGCAAGCCGGGCTGGCCTAATTTTTTTTAAGTGTTTTTAAGTGTTTTGTTTATTGTTTTTAATTAATGGGGCCAAATTTATATATGTATATTTTAACTGTATTTTAATACTTGTATTTGATGTTTTTACTTGGCTGTTCACCGCCCTGAGTCCTCAGGGAGAAGGGCGGTATACAAATTCAAAATAAAATAAAATAAATAAAAAATAGTTCAAAAGCCTCAATTCTTTGGCACTCAGTGGTCCAACTGATGGTCCAACTCTCTTGGCTGCAGTCCCCATCTGCTGTGATCTTGGAGCCCAGAAAAATAAAATTGTCACTACCTCCATTTCTTCCCCATCTATTTGCCAGGAATTGAAAGGGCCGGAGGCCATGATCTTAATTTTCTTAATGTTGAGTTTCAAGCCAACTTTTGCACTCTCCTTCTTCACCTGCATCAAGAGGCTCTTTAGTTCCTCTTCACTTTCTGCCATTAAAATGGTACCATCTGCATATCTGAGGTTGTTGGTATTTGTCCCAGTAATCTTAATTCCAACTTTTGATTCATCTAGCACCACCTTTCTCATTATATGCTCTGCATATAAATTAAGTAGGCAGGGTGTCATTATACAGCTTTGCCGGACTCCTTTCCCAATTTTGAACCAATCAGTGGCTCCATGTCCAGTTCTCACTGTTGCTTCCTGACCCGCATATAGGTTTCTCAAGAGACAAATAAGATGTTCAGATACTCCCATTTCTTTAAGAACTTGCCACAATTTGTTGTGATCCACACAATCAAAGGCTTTAACATAGTCAATGAAGCAGAAGTAGATGTTTTTCTGGAACTTTGCTTTTCCCTACTTTCTTTAATTTAAGCCTAAATTTTGCAATGAGAAGTTCATGATCTGAGCCACAGTCAGCTCCTGGTCTTGTTTTTACTGACTGTATAGAGCTTCTCCATATTTGGCTGCAGAGCACATAGTCAATCTGATTTCTGTGTGGATTGTCTGTGGATGTCCATGTATAGAGTCATCTCTTGGGTTGTTGGAAAAGAGTATTCTCTTGACAAAATTCCATCAACCTGTGCCCTGCTTCATTTTGTACTCCAAGGACAAACTTGCCTGTTATTCCGGTTATCTTTTGGCTTCCTACTTTAGCATTCCAATCCCCCATGATGATAAGGACATCATTTTTTGGTGTTAATTCTATAAGGTGCTGTAGGGCTTCATAAAACCGGTCAATTTCATCCTCTTCAGCACCAGTGGTAGAGGCACAAACTTGGACTACTGTGATATTGAATGGTTTGCCTTGGGTTCAAGCAAATCATTCTGTCATTTTGGGAATTGTATCCCAGTATTGTTTTCCCTACTCTTTTATTAACTATGAAGGCTACTCCATTTTTTCTAAGGGATTCTTGCCCGCAGTAGTATACCTGATGGTCATCTGAATTAAATTCACCCATTCTTGTCCATTTTAGTTTGCTGATTCCTAAAATGTTGATGTTCAGTCTTGTCATCTCTTGTTTGACCATGTCCAGTTTGCCTTGATTCATGGATTTTACATTCCAGGTTCCTATGGAGAATAGATCTTTACAGCATCAGACTTTCCTTTTACCCCCAGATGCATCCACAGCTGAGTGTACTTTCAGCTTTGGCCCAGTCGCTTCACCCTTTCTGGCACTACTAGTACTAGCTCTTCCCCAGTAGCATATTGGACACCTTCCGACATGAGGGGATCATCTTCCAGCGTCATATCTTTTTGCCTTTTGGTACTGTCCATGGGGTTTTCATGGCAAAGATACTGGAGTGGATAACCATTTCCTTCTCCAGTTTTGTCAGAGCTCTCTGCTATGACCTGTCTGTCTTGGGTGGCATAGCTCATATCTTAATTGAGCTACGCAAGACCCTTCACCAGGACAAGGAAGTAATCCATGAAGGTAATTACATAAGTAATTACATGAATCATATTACATGAATATGAATTACATGATACACCACTAGAGGGCAGTATTAGATAAAGTTAGAATACCTTATCTGCACACAGCCATATATATGCTTTACAGAAGCATTACAGATCTAACTTTTAAGTCTGTAAGCAATCTTTGTATAAATTATTCTCAGAAATGATAAACAATCAAACTATTATTTTATTTATATTTTCAATATTTTACTTACTAAATATCATACATATTACTTGCATATTTCTTTTCAGACAGACCCCAATTTGCCACCAGAAAACTATTGCCTTTTTAAAAATATAAATACGATCTGTGCCTCATTGTTATATAGACAAGTGTAGCTCAGATTACGATATATTGAAGCATGGAACAAAATCATATTAATTATTTAGATTCACATATTGTATAAAGTTTATTTTTAGCTTAGTACAATGTATGAACAAAGCCACTGAAACATAAGAATGTATAAATTGTAATGTTACAGCTAATTCAATAAACTGTTATTTAAAAATCCTGATTTAGCACAATATGTATTAAAACAGCATTTAAATAGCTAGGAAGGTTTTTCCACTGCTTTGTGGGCATAGTTATGGAATATTAATGATAAAACCTCATTGTAGAATACATTTCTTTAGCTTCAGAGATACTAAATAATCCTATGCTCTACATATTTATTTGCCTGACAATGAGTTACACTGCAGTTTAAAGAAGTATGCTTTGAATAGTTAAGTCACTGTAGTACTTTCTGAAAGTCCAACAAATAAAACTCTGTTCAACTCATTCTCAGTGCTGTAAGGAATTCATGGAAAGTACAGTTTTAAAGATTAATATGACAAATTAAATTAAATCTGTAATATTTCAAAGTGATTACGGGTAGTTGTTTGCTAGATACTAATATATATACAAGAATTGTTTACTATCTGTATACTTTTGCTAATTATAGATGTTTGCTACACTTCCATTCCTGATTTAAAAAAATAAAGCAGCAGGGATGTGATATAACTACACAATGTAAAAAGCATAGTTTAGAAATAAAACTAAAATGGAAACATATAGTGCCATATTTTAAATAAAGAACAATGGAACTGTACTGATGCATGAATAATGCACACATATTCTTGACTGGAAATAATTCTGCATTAGTTAATTGCATCTGTTATTCTGATTTTTCCAGTGTTAAGTAGTACTACTGATTCTTGTTAAAGCAAATGCACCTTGATAATATATCTTTCCTAGTCATTTTCATAGTGAATATTAGACTTTTGTAAATGAACTGCCCCTTAAAAGCTATTTAAAACAAAGAGCATAATTTGTTTTGCATTTTTCCAAGGCTGTAATTCAAATGTAAACTTGTCAATCATATATGGATATTTCAAATGCTGAAAAAGGGATGGAAAATGGAAAGCCACTATAAGGTTGTATGACCACAATAAAGAATTGCTGCTTTTGTTAGCCTTTTAAATTCTTGTGGATTAGTTCATCTAAATTAATTTCTACAATGAGAGTGTTTATGCCCCCTTAGACTTGTACAAAATGTGCTTTGCCCTAGTTAAAAAAACTTTTAATAGTTGTATGCCTTCGGTTTCAAGAGCTATTCAACAGGGAAGATAATTAAAAATCCAGAAATTTGCAAAATAGGAGGGAGGCGGGGGAGGGACAGTTCATCCTCTCTCTGGGCATAACCCCTTTCCCAAACTGATGCTTCAGCGCTGTAAGCTTTGTGGGGAGCATTTGGCCCTGAGCCGAACTTTCTGGGACCTCCCTGCTGCTTTGATTGGCTGGAAGTTTTTTCCCCGGTGCTTTTTTATCATACGCGCGGAGAACTTCGGGGCTATTCGCTCAGTTTGGAGACAGAGGTGCAATCCACGCCGCTTTCTCTTCCTCCTTCTCGAGGTTCGGCGCAGCATAGCCAGAGGGCAGTTGGGGTCCTCTGGGCGGAGACGCGACTCCTTTTCTTTCTATTTTCTTGCAGAACTTGCTTTCGTCTGCCTGTTCTATTATTTCGTGGCCATGGAGAACGGAGTGCCGTTTTACGAACAACCCGGCGTAATGACCGGACCGAACAAGTGGCCTTGCATGGAGCACTGCACCCTCAAGAACTTGAGCAACTGGCGATTATCCCTCAAGTTTGCGCAAGTGGTAAGTTGGGTTTTATGAATAGGTAAGGGAGGAAGGAAACGAGCAGGTGGCACAGACGACCCTCCCTTCGGCGCCGTCTTCCATTCTTTGTGTTTATCTTGTCTTCGTTTTCAGCAGTTCGTAGGCGTGGAAGACTTCGGAATTTTATTTATTTTACATGTATTACTTATTTGCATTCTGCTTTTAATATTTTTACAAATATCTCAAAGCGGTGAACACATGTAACCCACCTTCCTCCTCCTACTTTTCTGACAACAAACCTATGAGATGGATTGGGTTAAGAGAGAGAGTGACTGACCCAAAAGTCCCTCAGCTGACTAGGGACTAAACTCACGATCTTCTGTTCTAGCCCGGTGCTTTAACTGCTAGACCAAACTGGCCCTTTTGTGTCTTTTAAACCGCCACTAATTCTAGCGGAGATCACTGGCACTACCAATGTTTACATGGAGGGCCCGGGAGAGAAGGGGGTACTATCCTGTCGGTACCTCATCGAATATCTAACATGTGGACTGTAAACCCGTAAAGCTGCAAACTCTTGCCCGCCAGCTTCTGGATAGCATTTTTCTGAGAAAGTGACTTATTTTCTGAGCTATTTTTTACTGTCGTTGGGCTTATAGATTTGAAGCCGCCGTTCGTGCGGTTTATTTGGGGCTGTTTTCACATCATTCTGAGAAGCTGCGCTAGACGGTTGATTAATTATAATTTTTGTCTGTATTACAAGCGACTAAAGTTTAGAGAGGACAGCTTTTCGATTCGAGCAGTTTTTGCAGGGAAATGAAGGAACTGTTCGACTACTTTCACTACTCCCCCACCCCCCAGCCCCGTGGTTAAAGATTGGAAAAGAAGCAGGATGATCTAGATTCAAGTTCCCACTTGATTCCACTGCTTTCTGGTGAACTATTGACCAATCCATTTATTGGCAGTATTTCTTTTTCATTACATTATTGTATCAAGTACCATAATCGATTGTATTCTAACATACTGTTCCTCTATTTGCTTTTTGCAGTTTATGGCCCAATAATTATTTTTTTAACTTTGATATAAGAGCCTTCAAAGTCTGGTGAGAAAGTAATTGGTTTAAAAGCATTTCAATACCAAAATAGTGCTAACAAATGAATAAGCACATTACCAGGATGTCACTCAAATGCTTAAGTTTTCCAGTCAGGAAATTGATTATGGGGATAATTATGAACTCCTATTTGGGAAGGAAGTGAAATCTTAATGGGAAAATAATTGAAGCCTGCTTTGCACTTATTTGATTAAGCCCGTATAGAAAATTAATTCTATAATATTTTGCTACAATTTTTCCCATAATTTATAATATGATATTCTGGTATTTTATCCCTTGTTTGCTTCAACCCATAATATTTTGTGTAAGACAGCTAGCAAATCTTCTTCCACAGAGTCTAAGTAACTATAACTTTAGATCAGATATGTATGGTCTAAATCCATATAAGTTTCATAGCTGAGTGGCGATTTAAAATTTGGTTTTCTCATTCCTATTTTTGACATTCTTAATCAAATTTTGACAGTCTTTTCAGAATTCATCTTACTATTGCACTTAATAACCTAATTCATCAACACATTTTTTTGTTAAAATTTTCATGAAATAATCAAATCTTTATGAGAGTTTTATTATCTCACACCCAAGTCCCTTTAGGAGAATGCTACAATCTTTAAATATTTATTTATTTATTTATTTATTTATTTATTTATTTATTTATTTATTTATTATATTTCTATACCGCCTTTCTCCCGTAGGACTCAAGGCAGTGTACAGTCAAGAAAAATATAGACACACAAACATCATAAAATTGCTAATTAAAATTATTACTTAGTTTGGTCAATTAACTAAAACCCAGAATTAGATAACATTTAAAAAAAATCATTCACATGTTCATATGTTTAGCCCCGCCTGTTGAAACATCAGGGTCTTAAGGGCACGGCGGAAAGCACAGAGATCAGGGATATTCCGTATCTCCGGGGGCAGTTCATTCCAAAGGGTTGGAGCCCTCACAGAGAAGGCCCTCCCCCTGGGAGTCGCCAGTTGGCATAATTTGACTGACGGTACCCTGAGTAGTCCCTCCCTGTGAGAACGATATGTTAAAATATAAAATATAAATAAATATAAATAAATATATATTTATATTAAATATAAATAAATATATATTTAAGATATATAAAAATGTGTTTTTTTTAATTTAATTTGTTTTGTATTTAAATTTGGAGATCTGTAAATGATGTCTGGAGAAGTAACAAATGTCTTGGCTATTGAATTGCTCATTATGTTATAAATGCTACTATCAATGTGTGAAACTAGGCATTTTATATAATGCCTAGGAAATCTATAGAATGGGAAATCGAAGTATTTTGATTTTAACATTTCACACATATCCTAGGCATTCTGTGCAATGCCAAATGATAAACCAGCAAAATATAAATAGTCCTGCTAAAATATCATTCTAACCTTCCTTGTTGCAATAAGTATAACAATACTAATCTTTTTCTCTTATTTTTTCTGGTAAGAAAGTCCTGTACTTTATTTTGCATTTCTTCTTTCATTTTCATATACATCTTTTCAATAACCCTAACCCTTTTCATGACTCTCCTTTCATACTTGGCCTAAATAGTACTTATCACTCTGCATAATACTAAGGTGTTCTATACAATGCCTAGGGAAAGTATATAGCATGTTAAAATAACACAGACATTTCATACTTTGCCTAAAAAGTCACACATTCTATAAATTTCATAGGCATTCTATACAATGTCAGCTTTTCATATAATGCCAGTAATATAAACCATACTCAGGAAAAGTGTTTCAGAATGCACAAACCAGCTGTGCAGACTTTGTAAAGACACAACTGTTTTAAAGAGTAGTAGCTAACTGCTATGTCATACATATACAATAGCTCCATTTCTGAAATAAACCTGAAGCATTGCAGAGTCCTGGTAAGTACTACACCCTGCTGACTACAGCAGAGTCCTGGTAAGTACTACACCCTGCTGACTACACCCTGTCATCCACTCACTTGGTGAATGTTAGGTTGAATTCCTTGTTCTCTGATGATAATGTTTTATATTTCCAATTATTATTGTGCAGATTTTGCTTCAATTTTAACTGTTTATTACCTGCATCCTACCTAGAGTGGCTTCAGTGATTGATTATCAATAATAAATGGATTAAATAAAGACATCATTTGCTGTGCTGACATATTTTGCTGAGCAGTATTTCTTCCCATATCATACCACCTTCAAATATTTGTTTGTGTGAATAAAATAGATAAGCAAAAATAGGTAAGACGTTTGCATTTCTCTTTCTATTTGATTCAAATAATGCCCACTAAAAGAAAAAGGTAATGGCTGTAGTTTGATATTAATAGAAGAGATATATATAATTTAATAGATAACTCAGTCATTCAAGCCTTGTTCAAATTTTGACATAATCTTTTTTTTTTTTTAATTTGATTTATATGCCGCCCTTCTCCGGAGACTCGGGGTGGCTTACAATATGTTAAGCAATAGCCTTCATACTTTTGTATATTTATACAAAGTCAGCTTATTGCCCCCACAAACTGGGTCCTCAATTCTCAATAAATGCAGATTCCTTTCTTGAAGCCCGAGATCTAAAACAAAGCATTTCTTTAAAAGAATGTGTCTTTTAAAATAAGAAAGAAGGATTTGTTACATAGAATTGAATCATCCAATAAATGATTGCTTGCTTAATCATCTTTATTCTTTATCAACAGATGCTGTCCTTCCTAGCCTTTATTGCTGAAGAAGCTGTGATGAGATCCAACTCCTGTCCTGGACTTTACATCTTTGAATTTGCGAGCTGCGGTGCCTTTATTTTAAGCATCTTAATCCTGGCTTTATATTGTACTACTGTTTATCAAAAGGCTGGAGAAGACAGAGTAACTTGTGTGGTAAAGAGGCATCTTTTCATTTTTGTAAAAAATTGGAAGCACACAATTTAATATGGTCAACGGAGAAGAGTTTTGGTGACTCCATTTTAAAAAATTCAAACAACGGTCTTTCCTTCCATTATTTTCATAACTTTGTAGCATCAAGGCTAGACCTACAGAAGATTATTTTATTTTGCTTGTGAGGAATTGTTGCTTTGTCTCTATGTTCAGCTTATCTCACATGCCAATAAAAGAGATACTCAGTAAAAAATAGGTGAGAGCCCAAAATTTGTGTTACGAAACAAGACATTTGTTAAGTGAATTTTGCTCCATTTTATGAATTGTCTTGCCACAGTTGTTAAGTGAATAACTGCAATTGTTAAATTAGTAAACCAGTTAAATGAATCTGCTTCCCCATTGACTTTGCTAGTCAGAAAGACACAAAAAGTGATCACATGACCCACAGGAAACCACAACTGTCATACATGTGAGTCAGTTGCCAAGCATCTGAATTTTGACCATGTGACCATGAGGATACTGCAATGGTTGTAAATGTGAAAAACAGTCATAAGTCACTTTTTTTTGTTTTAACTGAATGGTCACTAAGCGAACTGTGGTCAGTTGAGAACTACCTGTAATTAATGTGATAGAAATGAAGGATTAAAATGACATGTATTATACTTTTAGTTTTTCTTCTTTTGTAGGATTTCTTTGTTGCTGCAGTAGTAGGACTGCTGTTCTTCCTGGCTTCAATTATATTTACTGTAACCGCTGAGAAGCAACTGATTGAAAATACTGCAATTGTGAGTTCATATTTGACAGATTGCTAGGATTGCCAGGATTGTTATTAAAGCAAGGAAGAACAAGTTTCCGGTCCATAACGCTATTGCACACACTAATAGAGAACTTAGCATTTAAATTAGTGTGAATATATCATACTTTGTATAAAATTGGCACTATAAAAAAAAATATTCACCTGATTTAAAACGTAAGCTTGCCCCATATAATATAAAACCACTTACTATGTTAAAAAAATGGAAATTCATTGGCCCTTTAATCTGGCATTGCAGCAAGCAAAACTGTTTATTGGTCCTTTGCAATGAAAACCAGCAAAGTCATCTGGTCTTTAGCAGTCTGAGGACCTAAGCACTCTGCAGTAATCAGATGACTGCAAGGAATATAAATCCTTTCTTTCCCCACCAGTCAGTTAGAACCAGTGGTGGGTTGCCCCCAGTTCGGACCAGTTCACAAGAACCAGTAGTAAAACCGGCAGGAGGCTCCACCCACTGACCCGGACGTCATGATAGGTGATCTGCACATGCGCAGAAGCTTCTGTGAGCCAGTAGTAAAGGTAAGTAGGACCCATCCCTGGTTAGAACTGAAGAAGCTTCTTGGATGTGAAGTGAAACATTTTCAAAGGGAAAAAACCCAAAAGAGTTCAGTTGCCTTTTTGAAAAAGCACCTTTGAGACGACCGTAACCTGGATGATTGAGACTCTCCAGAAACCCTTTATCTACTTCCTTAAATTGCCTGTCATCCATAGTTCAAAATTATTTTATTAATTACAAATCATGAAATACATTTCAGGATTTTGCTGTTTCAAATATGTATGCGTGCATGGGTTGTTTCTGTGTACCTGCAATATAAGGGGATGATGCATAGGTCATTGTGGTTTTTTTTATTTAACAGACATTTGGTTTCTGCGCAAGTACATTATTTCTTGTGGATGGTGCCCAAATAATGATGAAACGTATCGTTGAAGAGAAACTGCTAGAGACTATCCCAACACTTCGCCGCAATCATCGTGATCGTCGCGATCATGAACGGCGTGACATTCAGATGTTAAATAACCACCGGGTCTAAGCTGTAAACCACAATGTCTTTTTAATGCATGCTAATCATAGTTGAAGAGATACTGTCCTTTAAGGTATAAAGGTAGTCCTCAACTTATAACTATTTGTTTAGTGACCATTCAAAGTTACAACACCACTGTAAAAAAATGACGTATGACCTTTTTCATACTTATGACTTTTGCAGCATCCCCATGGTCATGTGACCAAAATTCCAACTCTTAGCAACTGGCCTGTATTTGTGATGTTTGCACGTGATCCCCTTTTGTGATCTTCTGACAAGTAAAGTCAATGGGGAAGCCAGATTCACTCATCAATGGTGTTATTAACTTAACAACTACAATATTTCACTTAACAACTGTGACAAAAAGATCAAAATGGGGTAAGGCTCACTTAACAACTGTCTTACTTAGCAATGAAAATTTTGTGTGCAGGTGAGGTTGTAAGTTTAGGACTATTTGTATCTAGATTATTGAATTTTATTTCAGCTTTCTACTTCTTAATCTACAATTCCTATTCAACAAACTATATATTATATTATACTATATTCATATATTAAGAGACATGGTGGCTTAGTGGCTAAGATGCTGAGCTTGTTGGTCGAAAGGTCAGCAGTTCAACAGTTTGAATCCCTAGTGCCGCGTAACGGGGTGAGCTCCTGTTACTTGTCCCAGCTTCTGCCAACCTAGCAGTTCAAAAGCACGTAAAAAATGCAAGTAGAAAAATAGGGACCACCTTTGTTGGGAAGGTAACAGTGTTCCATGTGCCTTTGGTGTTTAATCATGCCAGCCACATGACCATGGAGACGTCTTCGGATAGCACTGGCTCTTCAGCTTTGAAACGGAGATGACCACCACCCCCTAGAATCGGGAACAACTAGCACATATGTGCAAGGGAAACCTTTATCTTTACCTTATTATATTATATCATTTCTGAATTTCTGAATGCTTGCACTTATTTTATTTTTCATATATGTATGAGTAATAAATGTGTAGCATTCCTTTGAAGATAAAAATTTTATCTGAGATTGTTAAATCCTAATGCATTGCTTTTCAGAATAAATAGAGAGAATGGAGCATTAAATAGTTTGTTGTGGTCATTCATATTCAAATTTAGATTTTTATTTTTTTAGTTAATCTTACTGTGTATACCTGTAGATGTTCCCACATTTTCTCACTAAACATTTTGTTATTCCTTCTTAAATCAAATCAGTCATCTTAAACTTTTAAAAAAGTCATGGGGTTTTATTGTCAGTATTTTGAAAATTAAGGCTTCTATAATACAAATGGAAGCTGCATCAAAAATTGCAGGGTATGTCCCGTTCAGCATTCCAGAAACTATGTCCACTCCACCTTTCTAATAACTGGACATTTTCTTTTCATACTTGTAGGGGATTTTTTTTGTATACATCTAAATTTTTAGTTCTCTTATCAGTTTTTTGGAATGCTAATCACTAGGGATCCAGTTCTGGATAGCCTTCAACTTCCATTAATCACAGCTTAATCTGTTAAAACTATCCTGAATTCTGCATTATTGTGACTTATGGCATGATCTGAGCTTCATCGAAGTCATATTAGCTTTTAAGCCATACCTATCTAATCTGCTTTGCATAGAATATGGCCTATTGGCAATATGTAATAGCACTTGGGCAGTTAATACACCAATAAAGTTAGCAGCCTAAAACTGGATAATCAATTTTAGATACTTGTTTAGATTTTAATTACTTTTACAGGCAGAAGAAAACAGATCATATACTCAATTAAGGTTTCTGATGCTTAGAATACTAGAAATGTTTTGATCCACATAAAAGTCTTAATTAGGATTTTTGCTCTACAAAAGTCAAGCCATTCATAATCAAAATGCTAAGTATATTGAGTAGAAATAGGGAATTGGATGCCCTGGTACAGGCTAGTTTTGATGCTTTTCCTCAGTCCAAGACTATTTAGGCAAGATACACTGTAGCTTTGGATGCACTGCAGTTCCTTGGGTTTGGACTAGACTGGCCACAGGAATCCTGTTGTGCGGCACCCAACATCATCCCCTGGATATTCATATGGGCCCCACCTTGCCTGCCTTTAATCATTCTTTAAATGAAACTCACTTTAACAATGCTCTTGCTTAGCAACCAAAATTTTTAGCTCAATTGTTGTTGTAAATCGAGGATTATCTCTGCCTTCCTCTGCATGGCAGTCTTGCCTAGTAAACTCCTTCCCTTTTCTGGGAATTTCTCCTCTGCATTAGAGGCACATCTAATTATATTAAGATGATATAAGGTCTCCTGCTGGAGCAAGGGTTGGACTGGATGACCTCAGAGGTCCCTTCAAGCCCTGGATTGCTGTGCTGTGTCAAAGCATCCACTGAAGCTGCATCTAGTGCCAGGGTCTGTGGTCCTTCCTTCCTCTCCTTTTTCTCTCCCTCCCTTCCCACCCTCTTCCTTCCTTCCTTCCTTCCTTCCTTCCTTCCTTCCTTCCTTCCTTCCTTCCTTCCTTCCTTTCTTCTTGTCTCCCTTCTCCTCTCTCTCTCTCTCTCTCCTCTCTCTCTCTCTCTCTCTCTCTCTCTCTCTCTCTCTCTCTCTCTCCCCCTTCCCTTCCTCCTTCCCTCTCTCTTTCTAAGGCTAGGATACTCACCCAAAACAAAAACTCCTTTGCATGAAGCTGGCTTCTGGCTGCCAGCATTGGCAACTAGCTGATTGGCTGGTGGCTAACTGTCCCAGAAGGTGAAAAGCCTGGGATTAACAGTGTGGTGTCGAATGGGCCGTGCTGAAGCGTATGGGACAGAGGGACTGTGGCCAACTGGCCGTGGCAAATGGACAGGAACGTGTCAGCAGAGGAGAAAAACTAGAGGAGAATCCCCCAAGGCAGAAGGCTGGCGGAGAAGCAGGCGCAGCCAAGGGTAGGAGGTGAAAAGTCCTAAACCCAGTCCAACCACCTGCTCATGCAGGAGACCTATATTAGGGATTTGAACCACCAACCACCAACCTTTCTGATCCTACTTTAAAATGTGCACAGCTGTTGAGAGAACAGCTAACAAAAACATGCAAGGTGGAACTTTACACAAGTAGTCATTGTTTAATAACTGGTCACATAGCAACTGTTCTAAGGTGGTGAAGAGATGAAAAGGAGGTGAAAAGTCCCATTCCAGGTTGGACTAGATGACCTCCAAGTTCCCTTCCAACTCTGTTACTGTTACAAAAGACTCACGTAGTAGCATCTAAAAATAGGGAAGAAAAGGAAAGACTAGAATCAACCTACTGCAATTTTAATGGTAAATGTCTCATTAAATTTAAGGCTTCCAAATATTTCAAATAGCAAAACTTCAGAGGTAGCATAGATGCCTCCCATCAAACCCTTAGGGGTGGAGGATAATCAACGAAATATGAATTTTGTCTGCATTAAAATCAGGAGAGTGATGAACCCATAAATATGTGATAGAAATGTGATGTGCTGCACCTGAAATGTTTACTGTATTTAACTAGCAAAGCATATTGGGGCATTTTGTCTAATATTATGAGAAGACAAATAATATGTTTGAAAGTTTCAATGTTTTAAGAAGCCATTAGAAATCAAGATTAACCAGTTTGTAAATCATTTTTTAAAATCAATCTTTTTAGACTACTTGTCTTGTGCTCAAAACAACTGAAGAGTAAGTATATTTTAATTAACTCTTTTGATATTATTTTTGTAAGGGCAAATAGATAATCACTTACTGAAATATGCAAAAAGGAAAATCAGCTATCTACATGTGTGATGGGAAATTTGGGATATAAATTTATCTTGATTAGTCAAGAAAATATTTTCATAAAAGAGATCACTGAAAAACTGCAATTGTTTGAACAACCAACAAATGAAATAAAAATTGCTTGGGAATAAAGGTACTCCTTGAATTCTGCAGCCACCGGGCTTCCGGTTCCGATCGCCATCGTCGCCAGACGGTCTTTTATGACCTCCAGCCCCACCGCCCGTAAAGAGCTGCCTCCACAGCTGAGAGGCGGCTTGAAAAAACTCCGTTTCTTTGAAGAAGCGTGAGGAGAGCCGGCGAGAGTAGGTAGAGCCCCTGTGAAGTCCCCAGAGTGGTTTTTTTTTTGCCTCTGGGGAGGAAGCAGGATGAGGCTCCCTATCCAGCTCGCCAAGGCTCCGGGCGCAGGGGGAACTCTGCTTGTTGCAGAGCTAGACGACGCGACCAACGTAATTAGTGATTTATCAAAATAAACAGGATGAAATCTGGATCTGGAATCCAAAACTGCAAGTATATATATTAGCCCTGTGATTGGATTTAAGAATAAAGAAAGAGTGAAAGTTTAAAATGGCGTCCGGCTTTAGCTGCTTGAAAAGAAAAAAAAAGCTGAAAGCGAAAGTGGACTTGCCTGATTGTTTCAGTATGCTACAAAGTATCTAAAATAACAGCGCTGGTTACAAGAGAAGAGAAAAGGTTTTTTTTCTTATGTTCTATCTCCTTAGAGACTTGATTAACTCTGAGAGGATTTTATGCTGGCAAAAAGGGAGAGAACACTTCCTCCTTAAAAAGAATTGGTCTGCGTGGCAGCATGGCTTTAAAGCTAGATAAGCTAGACAACAAAGCTGTAGGGGGGGTTTCCCCCACTTATAAGTCACAAGCACAGTTTCTAAACCTGCAGACTCAGAGACAGGAGATTGATTTTAGAGACTTGAAGGAATTTATTGCGGCTCTGATGAAACAAGATGAGGTTATGGACCAGAAGTTTAAAAAATTTCAACAGGAAACTAAGGAGATGGTTCAAGAAAAGTATGACAAGATGAAACGAGATATTCTGACAGTTTTGACTGGCTTGTCAGAAGTAATTGTTCAAATTGATAAAAAAGTGGAAGAAATTAATTTAGAAATAGAGTCTAAAATGAAGGAAGTTGATTATAAGATTGATAATCTGGATAATAAAACGCAAAAGATTGAAAATGAAGTCACAATGATGCAATTCAAATTTATGGAGTTTGCTGTAAGATTGAGGGGGATAAAGGAAAACAACAAAGATTTGAGAAGGATTTGTGCTGATGTTTTGGCTGAGATGTTAAAGGTTAGCCCTGAAGAGGTCTTGTCCAAGATTGACAAGATTTACAGAGTTAATTCTTGGGTAGCAAGGCAAAGGCAATTGCCAAGAGATGTAGTGATATACTTTACAGATAGAAGAATAAGAAATGACATCTTGCAAAAGTCTTTTGTTTCTACCTTACAAGTGGATGGAAGGGAGACTGGGATTTATAAAGAGCTGCCGCCTAAGATGCTAAAAGACAGAAAGGATTTTGGATTTTTGGTGACTGAACTAAAAAAACAACAAATTCCATTTAGATGGGATGCTCCAGTTGGTATAATATTGAGGTATCAAGGACAAAGATATCGACTAAATACTGTTAAAAAAGCGGAAGAATTTTATCTCAATGTTTTTAAAATTGGTTCAGCATCTCCACGTACATCTTTGGTGTTAATATAGGAGGGTGATGAAGAAAAGCAAAACGAACAAAAGATTGAAGTTTAGTGGAAGCAGATGGAGATGGAGGCAATGGAAATACAAGGAACTACAGGGGGCTCTTTGGATGAGCCGTTCCCGGATCTTCCTTTAAAGGCTAAAGGTGAATCACCTAAAAATACAAGAGAAGTGGCTTTGGATCTTGATCTGATGTCTTACAAAGTTAAAGATCAGCGTATAACCCGATCAGTCTACAAACAAACTCCAGAAAAACAACAACAGCAGAGGTCTAAGCCAGCACAAGGCAAGAAAAGAAGTAGGTTCTACAAAACTAAAAAATTTTAGAATATCTCTTTTGAATATGAGCCTTGGTACTACAGTGGTTTAAAGCACCCTGTTATTAACACAGCTGCCTGCAATTTACTGCTGGTTCGAATCTCTCCAAGGCTCAAGGTTGACTCAGCCTTCCATCCTTTCTAAGGTAGGTTAAATGAGGACCCAGTTTGTGGGGGCAATAAGCTGACTTTGTATAAATATACAAAAGTATGAAGGCTATTGCTTAACGCACTGTAAGCCGCCCTGAGTCTCTGGAGAAGGGCGGCATATAAATCAAATTAAAGAAAGAAAAAATATG